CATGGTAATTGGGATATATTATATATTGGCTTTCCTCCATTTTGCATCCTCTCGAATTGCGCAATATTCGTCTGTTGTGCAACCTTGATCCAAAACCGCTGCCAACGCTGCGGAGGATCGCAAAAGCTGTACCATGTCTAATTTTCTAAAGCATTTTTGCCAATTTTGCCAAAAATTTGAAGAGTTTTGGCTTTAACGCTGTCATCAATATTTTTAGTTATAAAAGTTTCAGCTCCCTTTCATACGCCAAACTTCTAGCAGTTCTGCATTGCTGATCAAGATGTTGCTTCCTAAAAATTCAAATTACCCAAAAAACCGCATTAAACGCACTATGAGCTAACCTATTCTAAATTTAGAATCGACAAATCTAAAACATGTATATGGACACTCACTGATACAATTTTAATCTTTTTTTAAAACCCATTGGAAAGTTCCACTTTCTTTCCAAAAGAATCAAGGACACAACTTGCTAAATATGCAAATTGTTAGAAAAATACTAACGAAACGAAAAATACTATACTAACGATTAGTATCAACACATGGGACTAACCTGAAGAATAAATATTCATTTTTGATTTGATTATTTTATTATTTTTTGTCAGAGATTGCCAATTTTTTGCAAATTTTAAACTGCCCCGCAAAGTTAACCTTTAAGATAGCACGTGGTGTTCGCTTGCAACAGATGCCTTTAACAGCTGTTATTTTAACAATAAACTGTTAAGGTAACATTTTAGGTATGTAACACAGCAGTTCGATTATTTCTTAACATGATCACATTCTAACGGAAATTGGCATACTCGCAAAAAATGAGTTTTGGCCACGAAAACGCGTCAAATTCCACATAGTGCACTGGTCAAGCAATGGTGGTGGATTCCTTCAAAGCTAAACGTCGCAGATGGAGCTACCAAGGTCACCGGGGAAACCCAGCAAGAGACGTGGATAACGCGCCCGGAGTTCCTGAACCCCGATGCAAGAAACTAGCCCACACCCAAGAAGCAGAAGAGCATCATCGATACTTCGAAGCATATGATGACGACGCTTACGAGATCAGCAGTTACGCTTAACGCTCACCATTTCTCAAATTGGTGGCGATTATACAGAGCAGTAGCGCTAGTACTCCTTTTCATCGATCGGTTCCAAGCAAAATGTGCCGGGCAAGACATGCCAGCAACCACGACAATGGCTCAAGGCAAAGATGCTGATATACAAGCAATCTCAAGCAAACGCCTTCGCAGAAAAACTAAAAACGTTATCCGCGGGACCTGCGCTCCTAAAGGAAAGCAGATTGGCCGGATTGAACGCATATCTGGATAACGATGGAGTACTACGAACTTGAGGCACACCGAACGCAGTCGACATAGCTGAGGACGCCATTATACTAGCCCCAGAATGCCGAAAAACCCACCTCATAGTAAGGATCTTCCACGAAATGTACCACCATCTCACTCATGAGACTGTAATAAACGACATCAAAAATTATTTTTATGTCAGCCGGCTGCGAGTACTGCATAAATTTGTACGAAACACATGCCAACAATGCAAGATTGACAGAGCAGTTCCCAGACCACCACAGATGGCACCGCTCCCGAGGGAAGTCTTGGAAGCTTCGAGAGTCTCTTCACCTATACATGGTTGATTATTTTGGCCCGTTATTAGTGAATGTCGGCCGGCGCAAAGAGAAGAGATCCGGACAAGGAAAGGAATCTTGAAGAAAATTTTCCCAAGTTACTCCTTGAACGACGAGGAGTTGCGAAACGCATTGATGAAGGCACAATTTATAATCAACTCGCGACCTCTCACGTTTGTAAGTCTGGATTCCAAGGATGACGCCGCTCTGACTCCAAACCATCTGCTGCTAGCATCAGCAAACGGTTAAAAGCCGAGACTCAGCGCTTCGGAGACCGCTTTTGGTGACGATGGGTTAAGGAGAATGCGCCCGTAATAACCAGGCGCTCCAAATGGCTTGAAAAGGTACCACCAATAACCATAGGAAGCATCGTCGTAGTCGTAGATAAGCTTCATCCTTGGAAAATGTAGCTAAAAGGAAGCGTGACTGACGCAATGATGGCCAAAAATAGACAAGTTCGACGAGTGATTATAAAGACGTAGCATGGCGTTATCGAAAGACTAGCAACAAAGGTAGCAGTTCTGGACGTCAGCTTGGAGAATGGTAACTGACCACGTACGGGGGAGGCAATGTTACCGCCATCACAGATTTAACGTTATATTTCAATTATGAAAACGTTAGAATTAGTATTCGAAAATGTTTATAATTAGTTTTGCAATAAGCTTATAAGATATTTGAAAAAGGGCCCAAGAACGAGGCGTCTGCCATCGCTTGGCGAAGCTAGCAAGGCGAGGGAAACGGACGAAACTTTTTAGCGCGCCACGCAGCATTGATTTGAGCTCAAATAAAGGAGAGATAAACCAAATCTATGTATGCTTAAAAATTGTGTATCATCCTCGCCCCAATCGCAACACCGCTCATAATATTTATACCATTGATATGATATAAGATACCATGATATAAGATTGTCCGTCTGTCTGTTTGTTTTCTTTCCACACACTCTTATAAACTCGGCCGATTATAAACGGCTTTTCTATATCTTATTGCTGCCATATAACTGATTGATCGGAGCTGTTATATGGTTTCTTTAGAGCAGTGGTGGGCAAACACTCATTTTATATAGCACGCGTGTATAGGGTAGGAAATTCTGCCGCAGCGCTGCCGGCACACTGCATCGCTGCGGCAGTGCGAACACTCTGCGACAGTGTGAGCACTCTCCAATTTTTTTTAGAAGCTCTCTCATTTGCTCTCACTTTGATTCATTTGACAGCCCAAACTAAAAATTAAAATGTTTCCACTGAGAAAAACTTTCTCAGAAATTGGGTTGGAAAAAGTTTTCTCCATAGAAAATATAGATAGAAAAGCGTTGCTTTTAATTTTTTTAAGAACTCTTGCTAGCAAATCTTTTTTAAAACAAAATACACTATTTTAGTGCCCATTCCAACTTTTGATTTAACTAAAAATAAAATAAACAAGAAAGGAAAGCTAACTTCGGGCGGAGCCGAAGTTTATATACCCTTGCAGTTAAAACCGGATATATATCGCAAACATCGGATATAGTTGGCCGATCCTTATAAGAATATGATAATATAACCCAATTTATTATAATACAAAACCTAAAAATGTCCCAAACTTCTATCTTCAAAAACACAAAAGTTGGGTCATTTCCGATCGTTCAGTTATATGGCAGCTATAGGATATAGTCGGCCGATCCTAATGAAATTTGGTAGGTTGGATCAACTAACCAAAAATAGAATCTGTACTAAATTCCAGCTTTCTATCTTCAAAAACACGAAAGTTGGGTCATTTCCGATCGTTCAGTTATATGGCAGATATAGGATATAGTCGGCCGATCCTTACGAAATTTAGCATGTCGTATTATTTTGCCAAAAATAGCTCTCACCTAAAATTTGAACTCTTTAACTTTAAAAACACCAAAGTTATACCATTTCCGATCAATCAGTTATATGGCAGCTATAGGATATAGTCGGCCGATCCCGGCCGTTCCGACTTATATACTGCGTGCAAAGGAAAGAAGGGTGTGTGCAAAGTTTCAAGACGATAGCTTTAAAACTGAGAGACTAGTTCGCGTAGAAACAGACAGACAGACAGACGGACAGACGGACAGACGGACATGCTCATATCAACTCAGGAGGTGATCCTGATCAAGAATATATATACTTTATAGGGTCGGAGATGTCTCCTTCACTGCGTTGCACACTTTTGACCAAAATTATAATACCCTCTGCAAGGGTATAAAAACTAGGTTTTTTTCGCTCAGTGAATGCTTCGCTCTCAATTTTTTTCTCTGCTACGCATACACTCAAATTTTAAACATGTGTGCGTTTTGCCCCCCACTGCTTTAGAGTTAGAGGAGAGTTCGCGATATTCATTTGGCAAAATAATTATAATTTCCATCAAATTTCACACGGATCGGCTAAAGATGCCATATAACTGTACTATCGGAAATGACCCAACTTTCGTGTTTTTGAAGATAGAAAGCTGGAACATAGTAGAGATTCTATTTTAGTCAGTTGATCCTACCAAATTTCATTACGATCAGCCGACTATATCTTATAGCTGCCATATAACTCAACGATCGGAAATGGTATTTGGTAGAAATATCAACTTTGGTATTTTTGAAGATAAAAGCTTGGGACTTTTTTTAGATATTTTATTTTAATAAATTGGTTATATTATGATATTCTCATATGGATCGGGCAACTACATCCGATGTTTGCGATATATATTTGGTCTTAGCTGCAAGGGTATATCAACCTTAGCTCCGCCCGAAGTTAGCTTTCCATTCTTGTTTTTAAATGATGTATTCTAATAAATTGTTTTTTATACCCTTACAGAGAGTATTATAATTTTGTCCAAGAGTGTGCAACAAAGTGAAGGATCTCCGATCCTATAAGTATATACATATTATATATTCTTGATCAGGATCACCTCCTGAGTTGATATGAGCATGACTTCTGTCATGCTCTCGGTAGTCTCTCAGTTTTAATGCTATCGACTTGAACTTTGCACGCAGTATATAAGTCGGAACGGCCGGGATGGGCCAACTATACCCTATAGCTGCCATATAACTGATTGATCGAAAATGGTATAACTTTGGTGTTTTTAAAGTTAGAGAGTTAAAATTTTGTATGAATGCTACTTTTAGCAAAATAATACATGCCGAATTTTTTAAGGATCGGCCGACTATATCCTATAGCTGCCATATGAACAATAGAAAATGACGCAACTTTCGTATTTTTTTAAGATATAAACTTGGAACTTTGTAGAGATTCTATTAAAAGGCAAGGGTATATAAACTTCGGCTCCGCCCGAAGAGAGCTTTCCTTTCTTTTTATTCTTTATAACTAAAAATGTAAGGTAAGGTAAAATTTACTAAATAAAAATAAAACAAAACTTATTTTATTTTAAGATTAAATTTCCTCAACTGCGTGATTCTGGAGTTTATGAATGTCAAGTATCTACAACTCCCCCAGTTGGCTACACAATGATATTTTCTGTTGTAGGTAAGTATTTCGTTACTTACCTTTATATACTTTACTTTATATAAAAGATTATACAAAAAATAGGTGGTAAATTTTAGAGTAGATTTTAGAAATTTTAGAATAGAGTGTCTTTTTCGGGTTCAGCGCTGGGACTGGAGAGTTCAGGATCTACATAGCGACAAGTGATTTTACGAAATCCGATTTCTGATAGCCGATATCCATTAGTTAGAATTTAGCCCAAAACATTCACATTATTAGGTGCCAATGGTTTTTTTATTTTATTTTTTTTATTATGACAGGTGTTATTTAAAACTGTCCAACAGGGACAACCATTAAATATTGTGACAGAAAACTTGGCTTATGTGTAAATTAAGTAAGAGGTGAAAAAATAAGAATGTAAATATTTATTCTCGAATAACATACATAAGATGGTCACATCTAGCTTTATACGTGTTTAGGAAGATTGCCTTGAACCTAACGTATAGTTTTTAGTGTGTGTTAAAAAATCAAAAATTTCATCAAAAACAAAAAATTAAAAACCACGTTTATATACACAATCTCGCGGCCAATCGTGGACAAAATCAACACGATGGACTGGCAAGACGCCCCCACTTCATCAAAATCAAGCCGCCTTCTAAAAAGAAGCCGTATTCTAACTTTCAAGATGTCGACTCCAGCGGTTCCGAGCTTGGAGAAATGAAACGGAAGTCGGCTAAAAATCCCGTTAGGGAAGACGAACCAACCACCAGCAAAGCAGCAAGAGCGGCATTGAAGGCTTATATTGAAAGAAATTATTATTATGCTATTCTATCTGATCTTGAAGATGATGAAGAGGTACTTATGTCTTCTAAGTCCCCCAAGAAGAAGGAAATCAAGCCACCACCGATTTTTATCCCAGAAGTCTCTAACATTGCTGCTCTAATTTCCTGCATCGAGGACATCGTTGGCAAAAAGAAGGACTTCTCCTACAAAGCCGCCAGAGACAATCAGGTGAGGATTATGATGCCGGATAAGGAGTCGTACTGTGCCCTCAAATCCCAGCTTGATAGCGCCGGCCCAGGGAAGACAGAGCCTACAGAATTGTAGTAAAGGGACTCCACCACACCACCGATATAGACGAGATTAAGGAAGACTTTTGGCGTCAAGGACATGCAGTCCGTGATGTGCACAATGCCATAGGGCAAATCACCAAGAATCCATTAGCTATATTTTTTCTTAATCTAGAGCCGTCTAGCAACAACAAAGAGGTCTTTAACGTGAATAGAATTTGCCACTCTGTGGTTAAAGTGGAACCCCCACGCAAATTCCATGACGTGCCGCAGTGCTATCGCTGCCAAGGATTTGGTCATAGTCAGCGATACTGTAAATTGCAGCATCGTTGTGTCAAATGTGGTGAACAACACAGCACAAGCGAGTGCAGGAAAAATCGAAAAGAGGCGGCAAAATGCGTGCACTGCCATGGACCCCATCCTGCCTCCTACAAGGCTGCCCAGCATATAAGAAAGCCAAGGCCAGCATGGCCCCTAAAGATCCACGTCCAGCTCAACCACGTCGTTTAGCTTTCCAACCCGTTCAACACTATCCAACAGTGGACACCTTATCAAGGAGCTATGCTGATATAGCCAGGGGAGGAGCCCGTTCACAACAGCAACAAGCGGCAGCACCCGAGATGCCACAAACCGACCAGTTGGCAGCCTTTACGTCGAGAGTGGAAAGCCTCCTGGAGAGAGTTTTGGATAAGATGTTAGAACGTATGACAACAATGATGAGCGCCATCCTTACTCAGATATGCAACAAGTAGGACTGCACGTAGCCTTCAGGAACGCTAACGGCCTAGTTAATAAAAGGCTAGAAGTGGAGCATTTCATCCACACCCGCTGCATTGACACTTTGCTAATTTCAGAAACCCACTTTACACACAAATCATTCCTGACTTTACACGGCTACGATATCATTCATGCTAATCATCCCAGTGGCAGAGTGCACGGAGGAGCGGCAATTATAATCAAATCTAGCATTGACTACAGCGAGATCGCAAGAATCAAAGAAGAATGGATCCAGTACGCCAAAATCAGTGTCTCCACCCTTGGGGGGAAAATTATGATCGGTTCCGCTTATATTCCTCCTGGACAGAGAGTGTCCGATAACCAATTTGATTTACTGCTGAATGACATGGGCGACAAATTCATACTTGCAGGTGATTTCAATGCCAAGCACCCATGGTGGGGCTCGAGGGTGACTAACCCTAAAGGATCTACGCTATTCAGGTGTATTCAGCGTAGAGCCTTCAATTGTCATTCAACCGGAGATCCTACGTACTGGCCCACTGACCCCCAAAAACGGCCGGACCTACTGGACTTTGCTATATCCCACGGAATTCATCCGGACTTCATTGCCTGCTCGTCAAATGCAGATCTCCTTTCGGATCACAGCACGGTGGAACTCCACATTAATACCCCTGTTGAAAAGAAGGTCATCAGTTCCCGGATGATAAAATCACGTACCAACATCGAAACCTACACAGGGTGGCTAAATAACGCCCTAGGCAATACTCAGCCGGACCTCAACACAGGATTTGATATTGACAATGGTGGTCAACCTCACTCAGGAGATGCACAATGCTGCCTTAGTCGCAACACCAAGGGCTCCATGCAATAACAAAATCCTTCAAAGGCACCTAAATTTGTGGTCTCCAGAAGTAGCTCTACTGCTCAATGAAAAGCGACGGCTTAGAAGGATCTGGTTCCGAACTAGGTATCCCAGCGACAAAACAGCTCTCAATCGTGCGACCAAAAGACTTACGAAGCTGCTCCAGAGGTTGCGGACTTGTGCTTTTGAAGAATACCTACGTCAGGTTGAGCCCGGCGACCCCGAGCACAACTTGTGGCAACTGACAAGTCACATCAAGCGTTCAAAGACAAGGGTTGCTCAGGTTAGGAAACCCTGTGAGTGGAAACGGTGAGTGGTGCCGCTCCGATCAGGAGAGGGCGGACGCACTTGCTGCTCATTTGGAAGACGCCTTCACTCCATTCAATAGATACTCGGAGGTGGACCAAGCTGAGACTGAGAGGTTTCTGTCTCTACCCTGCACGGAAATCCCCGGGTGCGGATGGCCTTGAAGCACTTGCCATTAAACTTCTCCCCCCATTAGGTATCCAAAGGCTTATGAGCATATTCAACGCGTGCTTGGAGATCGGCCACTTTCGCTCTGACTGGAAAAAGGCGGAGGTCATACTCATTCCGAAGCCAGGAAAGCCTGAAGCTGATCTTGCCTCATACAGGCCGATAAGCTTATTATCAGTACTATCCAAGTTACTTGAGAGAGTATTTCTGCGCAGATTTCAGACCGTATTAGACGAGGCTGGCTTGATTCCAGACCATTAATTTGGTTTCAGGCATCCAGGCATCAGGCATCCTGGCATCCAGGACTACTAATGAAAATAAAAAGGAGCGTACCCCATGAGCATTACACCTTCCTCAATTCATACCTGAATGAAAGGTCATTTAGGGTTAGATGTGGAGACGCAAGGTCAGATTATAGGCTCATTTAGGCAGGTGTACAAAAAAAAAAATTTATCTTTATGTCTTGACCTAATCCATTACCTTTGAATTGTGTTTCTAATTTTCAATAACTCGCATATATGTTGAGGTATGTTGTAACTTGTGAATTTTTTGTCTTTAATGCGGAACTGCTTCAAGTAAAGGGAAAAGCCATCGTTGACTATTTTTGTGAACGAGTTGACCTGGAGTGTCTAAGATCGAACAAAAAGATTTATATTTTATATAGGAATTAAAGATTCCTATATCTAGTAATGTCATTACTAATAATCGATTGCTGTTTTTCAGTTTGTAAGAAATTTATTAAATATATATTATATATTTATAGGCAAGTGATCAGGGGATTCTGTAGACTGTTGTATTTGAAACTTGATTTGATGATTTGGTAATTGTGGAAGCCTTAGCTCTATGATATCTAGAAATATATGTTGGATGGAAATATATGTTGCATGTCCGTATGACGTGAGTTGTAATCGCCACAGGCGATAAAATTCTTCTGCAATCTGGAAATTTTTAGTTAGTCTTATTGTGTCTTTAAATATTTTCGATCTTTAGTTACATTACATGAAGCAGTCAGACATTTTGCTGTGTAACCCGGTAAAAAAGTTTTTTATGGCAAAAAGTTTTAGGTTGTTATTATTTGGGCTTGTTATGATTTTAATTCCCACATTTTCAATTAGGTGCGTTTTTAATTTGTTCTTTAATCGCGTTTTTAATCGTGTTCTATTTTATTGCCAACGACAATGGCAACGTCGCCACCTTTATTTTCTTTTGTCTCGTCTATAAACAGTATAGCTTGGTATGTTAAATCTGTCAGATTGAGTAAGCCATGTTTCAATTATTGTAGCTTTTCGGGCATATATTGTAAATTTTCGTCAGTATGTTAATGCTTGGAGATGGCAGCAGTTTTAATGCGGTTGCATGGATGCCGTCAACGCCCGGGGCCTTGTTGTTGCTCTGAGCGACAAGACTGAAATCTGAGCGGCTGTCTCCTCTTCCGTCACAGATGGTATTCTGTCGTCGCATCGTGTGGGCTCTGCCAAGAGTCGTACAGTTTCTATTGCCTCTTCTGGCGAGCAGCGGTAGAAAGGGGTGAATACGCTTTTCAGGTGTTCGGAGAACTCATTGGCTCGCTCTGTCTCTGACCTGCACCAACTGCCGTCGGCTCTATCGACTTTCGGGCATCTTTCAGTCCATATTGTTGATTTTGTCCGCGATTGGCCGCGTTTATGTGTGTTTAATAACGTGTTTATAAACGTGGTTTTTATATTTGTTTGTTTTTGATAACATTTTTGATTTTTTAACACAATAAAAACAATACGTTAGGTTCACCTACATATTTGATTGCTAAGTTGAACAAAACTTGGAATTGTTCTCCTTTATTGGAGCATGTGTTAGAGATATTTATTAAGTCTATTAATAAAGAGTTTACTTCTTCTGGAGTAAAGAGGCCAGTTTCAGTT